TGCTGAAGCCTCTGTTTTATGTTTTGTCCTTTCCTGTCTCTCCCTCATGGCAGGTTCATCTCCTGATGGCATTTATCAGGAGCCATTTATCAGAGGTCTGTGAACCTGCTACTCAGCCTTATGGTTGTTCCCATCGTCTAATGGATTCATGCTGACCCTTTTCCTTGGCAAACTGCCACAGCACAGAAGAATTGGTTAATTGCATACTACTGTTCTTTATAGGAGAAGGATTTGGGTTTGATCTGTCTCCAACTAGTGCATTCAGTTTTGTTCAGATTTCCACAAAGTGCTCGGTGAATCCTTCTGCCTTTTCCCTGACTGTTGGATTTTTACTTGCATGGAAAATCGGTCACTTGAATACCAGCATGTTTTGAAAACCCTGTGGGGACTGTTGGGGGGACTGTGCCTGGGCATTCTGTCTAGAGGACTGATTATGGTTTGTCTTTCCCTGGAGACTCAGTGTCTCTGTCCATGTGCATGAATGGGAGCAGCTTGTGGCTCTTGCACAGTGCTAGGGGAGGTCCTTGTGTTCCTTGTTTCTGCCAAGGTGTGAACAGTTCTCCGGCGTGGGGTGTCCTGCTGGCTGTGCATCCCATCCTGGGGGTGCAGAACAGCTTGTGGCCTGGAAGGGGCAGCTGGTTGTGGTGCAAGTCCTGCCCCTCTGCTGCTGCCAGCACCTGGAAACCCCTCTATAACCAGGTAGAGCTAAGGGCACCCGGCACGTGACGGCGTGGCCTTTTGTTCTTATTTCTTGAGCTGATTTGAAATTAAGCAGGGCTTAGTTTGGGACCTCCTTAGTGCTACTTTTAGTATCTCCCCTTTAAAATGGATCATCCCCCTGATTTATTTGTCCTTCTGAGCCATGGGCTTTTTTTGTGTTGTTAATTTTCTTTGGTTCTCACACAAAATGAGAAGCACTTTTTGCACCAACCCAGGTTGGAAAAGCAGGTGCTCTAAAGCACACTGACCTGGCTGTGATCCTGGCCGTGTCCTGGCTGGTGCCACTTCTCTCTGTGGGTTTGCGCTGTGTGCTGACACCTCCTTGGGCACAAAACTGTGCCATCTTCTGCTGACGAAGGACGTGGCCCCTCTGGTGTGACTGAAGAGCAGATCTCTAGATGTTAGATGGGAGGGAGGCTACCTGAGGCTTTCAGTTCCACCTGGGAATAAGACTGATGGCTGGGCTGTGAAAATGGGCTGAGAAGGTCCCACCTTTCATGGAATCACAGAGTGGTTTGGGTTGGAAGAGACCTTCAAGGTCATCTCATTCCAACCCCATGCCATAAGCCTCTAAGTGACATGGCTGGGGCATCCTGAGCAAAACCCATTTTTCAGATGGCCCAAAATATCTGGCCAGAGTTGGTGAAGATTTTGGCTTTGTGACCAACTGTAACCACATGGGCCTGTTGCAGTCTGACCACGTTTAATGTGACTCTCCCTGTTCTTTGCAAAGGCGTCTTTAAAGGGATAAACAAGGGCTGGGTGGAAACTGCTAATGCTCAGCTTATTTTCAGTCCTTTATACATTTTTAATACTAGATTTTGATCTTGTTTTCTTCTAAGGTGCCAGCGTGAGATTCTTTATGAGCTGGTCTTACCACGCTCTGAGTCTCAAGACTCCAGTCATGTGGAAAGGATTCCTTCTTAGATGCAGCAGGCAGACTTTATCCTTTGATCCCATAACTTTCAGCTCCTGTCTCCAAGTGACTGAGTTTTGGTTTTGCTGAGCCAAAACCATTCCCTAGTACCCTTTTTAAAAAAGAGCTAGCTAGTGCTTCTCTCAGAATGGTTGTGGTTGGAAGGGACCTTGAGAATATCTTATTCCACCCCTCTGCAGGGACACCTGCCACTAGACTGGGCTGCTCCAAGCCCCGTCCAACCTAGTCTTGATGATGATGAGCAGCTATTCCTGCAGGCAGGGAGGGAATGCTGCATTTCACAGAACCTCAGCTGGTGATACACAAGTGGGTTTTCATCAGTAGAACTGATTCAGCAAGTCTCCTGTGCCCAAACTCCAAATCTGGGTGCTGAGTCATGAACTAATCTTCTTCAGTAGCTCTTAGTAAAGCAAAAGATGCGGTTTCAACAGAGTTTTTCCAGGAGAAAACCTGATGATGACTGCATTTTGTTTTATTAATAATCAGATGAAACGATTTTGTTGTGAACTTGGGGCACCGTAAATGTTCTCTGTGGTCACAAAAGTCAAAGCTACAATCAGTGTAAGTCTAAAGAAGCGCCAGCCCACTGTCACTTAGAGGGGAGTAGGTGCCACCGGGACCCACAGCTCTGCGTGTGCATGGCACAGGTGGGGTTTGAGTGCTGTGAAGCAGCCACTGGTGTAAGGAGGTGCAACAGGGGGTCAAGGATGTCTTGGGGAGGGCTGTGCTGGGTGTACAGGAGAAGAAGGTTGGGTTCCCCCAAGTTCAGCGCTCAGCTCCGTGCTTCCCGTGCTCCCCAGCTGCGCGATCCTTGCGGTGCCCCTGTGTCACGTTGTATTTCTCAGGCTGTGGTTCTCATGGGAAAGGCTGGCTTCCCCCGGTGAGTCGGTGAGTCGGAAATGTCCTGGGAGCCCAGAGCATTGAGACTATGTGTCAATTGTTTCCTCCCAGGCGCTTTGGGAAGGGAGCCTAGAAGATTATCTCAGTGTTTGGAACAATATAAACAGATGCCAAGCACTTCAAGTACATGGAGAAGGAAAATGTCTTGCTTGGCCTCCCTGAACAGTCCGGGGGGGGGGGGGGCACAGCAAGGAACATTAAATAAGTCTCTGCCTTCAGACTAGGGAAAGCAGCAAAGTAATGCAGATGTTGGCCTGCGTATGTACAAGTGAGTTTCATATTACCAAAATCTGTGCTGCATACACGTGGTCCAAAGATTAAAGAGATTGTCCAGTTCTGTTGGCAGCATATTAAAGTATTAAGACTGCAGGCTCACTATGATGTGTTTCTATTATCAAGCTGACCACAGAATTCAAGTGATTCAAAGGGGACTGTTGTTTAATACAGATACCTTTTGCATCAGGCTTTTGGATGGAGTTTTGGGTGTGAGAATCCCTTGGGAAAGGCTACCACTGCCCTGTCTTCCTGGGGTCACCCCCACCCTTCCAGCTCCTGCTGGTGCTCGGATCAGATCTCCCCTTCCCCGTCTCTGTGCAGCACTCAGGCCATCTGCCACGTTAAAGCTGATGTTCCCAGTTGCTGGAAGAGCTTTCTGGGTTTCCTTTGGCACGCAAGAGCTAAACTGCATCTTCACATGTCCGTCTGGGAGCTCTTGCTGCACATATCTCTGTGGCTCTGCCCTTTCCCTCTGCGGTGTGATCCCATTCCTTGGAGGCGGCCATTTTGACAGGAGGCAGCAGACTCAGGACCCTGTTCTATCCCTGTTCCACTGCCTGAGTTTGAACCCTGCTCAGCTCCAGAATCCTCTTTCTTCAATCTCTGGAAGTGTCCAAGGTCAGGTTGGATGGGGCTTGGGGCAAACTGGTGTAGTGGAAGGTGTCCCTGCCCATGGTAGGGGCTGGAACAAGATGAGCAAATGTGCAAAATAAAGGTTGAAACATACAAAATAAAGGCCTCACAGCTGGCCTCAGGAGTGTGTGGAATCTAAAGTGGCAAATCAGTTAGTTACAGAAATGGAGTCTTTTGTGCCTGAATTTTCAGTTGTTTGGTTGCCAAGACTGGATTTATCATAAGGAGGAATTAGAGACACATATTTAGTTTGTGGGTCATTCATTCAGATGAATTTGTTTACTCTGTTCATCTGAAACTCTCCGTTCAGCCACTCTGGGATAGAAATGGGGAAACCCAACTTGGTCCAAAGTACAGAATCCAGCTCTCATTTCTCAGGAGTTACTTTTGTAAGAGCTGCTTTTATAGCTTACAGTGAGATGTCTGAATGATCTGGGCAGAGAAGACAACGTCTAAGTGCTTTCTGTAAGCACAGGATATTCATCCCCAGCTGGCAGAGGTGCAGAAAGCCCTGAAAAGAAAACATTTTTATCAGACACAAATAGGCACAACCATTAGCAAGTGTAGTTGAAGTGCTTTAGTTTGAAATCCCAGTTTCAGTGCAAGGGCATCCTTGGGATTTACAGCCAACATATGAGATTGGGCACTTCTTCTGTTACTTGCGAATTTTTATTTTAGAAAGTGTCAAGTAGGAGTTGATAGGAACTTGTGTGAGTAGTCCTTCCTCCTCTGCTGTGTTATAACAACTCCCTGATGGTACTTGGAGCATGGGACCTCTATAGTGGCACCTGTGTAAGGTACCTAATGGTACTTTGACACTTGTTATACAGAGGACTGCACAGTCAAGTGATGTAGATTTTGTTGGTCTAAGCTCTTCAATTAAACTGAATCACTTGGCACAAGGTAGCTGTTAAGTTCAGCCAGTGTATTTGGTAAAACAAATGGAAAAATTAGTTTAGAATGTGTTTTAAAAGCACTCTGTTCGATATTACAAAATGAGTATGATGGCCTTCTGTGGGGTTTATTTTTGTATTTAAATGAGTCACAAGGACAACAGTTATCTGAGTCTGCACTGGCATGTGCTCTCACAAATGATGGGATAAAAATACTTCTCCAAATGGTAGCTACAGAGCTCCAAGCTCACATCTGGAGACAAGAAAAACAGGACTAATTAACGTTAGGCCAGCTAAGAGGGATAGTTCACTTGCCTTCTGGAATGAAACAGGGATAGGACAAAGAGTAATGAGTTCAAACTGAAAGGGGGAAAGTTTAGGTTAGACATATGGAAGAAATGCTTCTCTGTGAGGATGCTGAGGCTCTGGCAATCTGTGCCTGGCACAGAAGCTGTGCCTGCCCCGTTCCTGGAAGTGTCCAAGGCCAGGTTGGAGGGGGCTTGGGGCAGCATGGGCTAGTGGAAGGTGTCCCTGCCCATAGCAGGGTTTTGGAATGAGATGATCTTTTAAGTCCCTTCCAACCAAAAGCATTTTGAACTGCACAGTGCTGAAGTTAATGTTGGTGTGCTTGTGTTCCCCAGGTCACCACACGATTTACATCGGGGTCCACGTGCCGAAGAGCTACAGGCGGAGGAGGCGTCACAGAAGAAGAGCTGGGCACAAAGAAAAGAAAGAAAAGGAGAAAATCTCGGAGAACTACTCGGACAAATCAGACGTAGAAAACGCTGATGAGACAAGCAGCAGCATCCTTAAACCACTCAGTGAGTACTGGTTCCAGTTGTCAGTCCTTAAAACGTTCTGTTGTCTAGGATCTGCTCACGGAGGATGAAACTTGACCCATGAAAACAATGGTCTCACGTTGCAGGGTTGGAGTGGTCTGAGCCAGCTGCTGTGGCTTGGAAAAGGCACAGGCCAGAGCAGACATTTCATCCCTCTCTATCACCTGAGTTGGCCCTTGAGGGATGCCAGGCAGGAACAGGCTGAATGTTTGAAGAGCAATTTGACACTGTGTGTAAAGAGATAGCAAGCAAGGGCAAAGACTGAGTAGTGCCTAGGTAGATCTATTGCAGCTTCTGCCCTGGCTCTGGGACGTGCACACGCTCTGGAATTCCAGCACCCCGTGTTTCAGCCTCATGTGTCACTAACTTGCAGTGCTAACAGCTTCTTTCCCTTGGGTAATTGACCAGTTTTAGGTTTTGAAAACAAAAAGAAGACTCAAATGAAGCTTTGCTGTATGTTTGCGTATTTTTACGGATTGAATATCTAAATACTGACAGCCAGGTTAGGTCTGTTTTGGATGCCCTGTGCCTCTATTCCCACTAGAATGGTTAAGCAGAGGACAGAGACCTTTAGCTGGTGCTATGACTGTGCAGAGACTGTCACAGGGTTGCCTTCCCTTTGCTGTATTCTCTGTTGGCCACAAGCTTGTCCTGAAATCTGGGCACAGATCGATGGCTGCTTTGGGAGGAGCAGGGGGGAGATGAATAGGCTGATGGGGTTGAGTAAGGCAGAGCAGCCCAGGATGTGATACAGCTCAGATTATTCAGGCTAATTCCAGATGGCTGGAGCTTCATTTGTAAGTAGAAAAATGCCTCTTGTGTGAGAGATCCATACAACTGCACCTTGGATTGAAGAAATACATTCATTTCTCATTTTGAAGTCATGTTGCTGGGTAGTTGCTATAGATAGAGACAGTAACGTGGGGCAGGCAGATCAGTCATGTCTTTAGCCTGGTTACCGTCTTCAGAGAACAGCACCTGGAAAGGAAGGCAAGTCACAGATTCCGTTTGCTCTTCCCAGCTCTTGTTCCCTGGTTGTCCCAAAGAAGGTTTTTTGTCAGCACTCAGAAACCAAGAGTTGGTTTTATACCAAAAGACATAATTACTTCAAGAACTCAAATGTTTTAAAGTTAATTTTTGTGTTTATACCTTTGTTCTTTGGCATGCAGGTGACCAGGCCTGTAGAAATTTCTTTTTTGCTTCTGAATGTATCATATCCTCGGGGAATTGTTTCCATGAGCTAAGTGTGCCTGTGTTTGAAAACCCATTTCTTCCATCAGGTTTTCATGTCCTGCCTTTCATTTTGCCCATCATTGTGTCTGTTTCATCTGAGGAGGGGTTTGTGGTGGTTGTTCTCCTCTGTGGTTGTTTCTATGCAGTAATATGTTCTTATCTGCACTTACACCTGCAAGTAAGAATATGCAGTCTTCCCATCACTTTCCATCTGCAGTTTTCCCATAGGCTTTTCTACCCTGATCTCTTTGCACTGCAGATTTTTGGAGTGGAATTGCATAAATATTCCAGGTGTCCCATGCAGTAGCATTCATACCCCATCCCTGGGCCCTTTTTCTGTTGTTCACCATCTCAGGTATCCAGATACTTTTCCAGGTCCTTGCTGTTTCGTACCGGTGGCCAGATCTTTTTATGAGCTGGCTCATGTAGCTTGGAGCTCTGTAAAGGAGAGGGGAAGGTCAGATTACTGTCTTGAATTACAAGTTACCTCATAGCCCTGGGTTTTTTCCTCTTCTGAAACTTTTGTCTTCAGAGCTGACCTGAACTTTGTGTTTCCCACCCTTTCTTTTGCTTTCTGAGATGCCTTTCTTTTCTCTCCTCCAGCTGTGTCACACAAGTGACAGAAGCCCATTTCTCTCCAGGCAGCATGTACCAGCTCAGGCTGGTGTATAGTGCTGACAGTCCTGGCAAGAAACCTCAGTTAGAACCCCGAGGTTTTAATCTTCATCCCATAGTAGGCGTTGATCCAGGGGTGGGAAACTAAGTGCTGGGAAATATGGCATAGCAATTTTAATGGAATTGGGAGAAAGCCGAAATGAACTGTGCTACATACATTTAAGGCTATCAGTAGACAGTGTGGAATATCAGAAGCTGAAATGTGTGTGAGGGCTGTGTGGTTTAAAACGAGCAGAATCTGGTCTGACACCAAAACACTGTGAGTTTTGGTCCAACATATCTCAGTTTAAGAAATCCTTAATTTATAAGCTCCTTCTCATTGTTGATTTTGCAGTTATCACCTTGGCCAGTATTAGACACTGTCAGTTCAGCCTGGGTGTATAACTGGTGATTTAGTTTATCTTCCAATACAAGGAGAAGTATATAGACCTTGATTTACAAAATCTTTAATATGTGGTTGTTAAAATAATTTATAGAAGCTCAGGGGACAACTTGATTGTCCTGTATATCGAGACCTTTGTTTTTCCTGAGTAGAAAGCTTAAGCCAGTTGTGATTTGGTGCATCACTTGCAATTCTTGATCTGTCCCTAAGGACCACAAGCCTGAGATTCAATATCTTACCTGAAATGATTTCTCAGCTTCTTGGATGAAAACTCTGCAATTAGACTTTGACCAAGTCTGGGTTTGACTCACTGGGTCAAGTTGCTCACAGCAACTGAACCTGATGGAACATGTCCATTGATACCAGCAATAGAATAAACAGGTCCAGAAATGCAAGTCTTCCCTAGAAAAGTTTTGTTCCAGTTCCAAACCAGTCTAGCTGTGCCTCTGTGTTTGGGAATTGGTGCAGTTTGGAAGTGTCAGTCCTTATATTTGTTTTAGCCTGTGTCCAGCTGAGCCAAACAAGCCCAACTCTGGTAGTAACAGACAGCCTTCAGCTCTCCCATCTGAAGAGAGCTGGGCAGATGGAACATGTACAGATAGGTTTTGTCCTGGGGAAATTCTGCCTTGAGAGCCATGCCTCCTTCACAGATCCAGACAGGGATACTTTGGCAGACTGAGGAGGAGGCAGGAAGGCAATGTTCCCTCTGCAGAGCCCTTTCAGGACATTCCAGGCCTGCGGGGCTGTCTCTGCTCTCAGGGAACTTTGGCATTCACACCCTGCTTCTCAGGCAGGAGTGCAGATGATGACAAATCCCTCTTCCAGGTAAAACATCCCAGCACCTCTCACCTAAAAGCACCTCCTTTAGCCAGCCTGGCCTTGGTTTCCATTTAGGGCCAGTCAGGAGGAAACACTTTTTAGGCTCTGCCTCATCAGGTCAACTGGTGCTTGTGTCAGCACAAAGAGGATGGTGGGGTTTGCTGCTGCTTGCAAGGGATGAGACAAGGGAGGAACAAGGAAGGCAGATGAAGTTTCTCTGAGTCCCTTTCCCTCTTCCTCATTCTGTACTACTGGTGTGCAGAGATTTTCCCATGAGGAAATGCATCTCTGCTTGATCTGGGGAGGGGTTTTTTCTCATTGTCTGGTTGCCGTCCAAGTCACTTTGGCTCACCTCCCTGGCCCAAACCCAAGTGCTGCAATACTTTACTGACTTTTTAAAACCTCTTGTGGGTGTAACAAATTCTTACTGTCAAGGATAGAATTTTTTAGTGCTTGCAGCCCTGAAGAGAGTAAAACCTGATTTTTGTGAGGTGTCAGAATGTTGCCATGTTGATAAATATAACTGCAGAATCTAAATTTTGGAATACCTAAAAGCAGGGATAAGAGGACCCATTAGAAGAGAGAGGGGAAGGATGATATATCAGAGCTTTTTAAAGGTTTCCAGTTGGCTCAGAGAATTCCTCTTGCAGCCACCAGCAATAGTTCTTAAGGGTTTTAGAAAAAATCCTCTCTTGAGCCCTCAGATGTGGCTTTGGAGGAAACTTCTGCTGTTTGTAGGGAGTGATTTCATTAAGGTGCAGTTTGAGGCTTGTGCTGCCATTCCACATGGAGCGCATCTCTCGCAGTGAAGGTGAGGTTTTGGCTGGATGGATCGGATTTGCACTGGAAGCGGGTAAACTTCTGTTCCTGCTTCCCAATTTGGAGTGCCTGCTTTGCAGGAAGAGTTTATTGTGGACAACGTCCCATTTGATAGGTTGCCCAAAGAAGTGGTGGATACCTCATCCCTGGAAGTGTTCAAGGCTGGATTGGACAGGGCTTGGAGCAGCTTGGGGTAGTAGAAGGTGTCCCTGCCCATGGCAGGGGGTTGGAAGGTTCCTTCCAACCCAAACCATTCCGTGATTTCCAGTGAGGAGTGCCAGTCTGACTGGAAGGGTCCATTCATAAAAAGATCAAATTAATTCGACAAAGATATTTAGACATCTCTTTAGGAATGCTCAAACTGGGCATCTACCTTGAAAGTTCATTAAGGCAGGTGCTATAAATAGCAGGAGAGAGCTACAGGATGGAAATAAATGAACCTACTTAGCAGAGCAGATGCAGCACAGTCAGGGCTACGCCAAGAGTTCTCTTTCTGTTCGTGTTACTGGATTTTTCAGCTATCCAATTTCTTTCCTGACTTTTTAAGACATGGGGTGGGATTTTCCAAAAGCTTTTAGCCTCAGCTCACCTCAGTGACAGCAGTGACAGTAGTTGACAAAAACCAGACAGGATGGCCAGAGCTTAATTGTTTTTGTATTGGCATTTTACATAGGGAAAGTGGAGATTTTGCTGTAAGTAGAAGGGAATTTTGCTGTTTTGGTCTTTGAGAACTGCACAGCGGCTCTGGACTGGTCCCAGGTGCTGGGGTCAGTTGAAACAGGCCCTATTTTGCCCTTCCAGTGCTGCAGGGAGTGTGCTCAGGTCCACTGCAGTGCAAGTGCAGAGGGGAATTAAACACAGTGCTAATTACTGCCGGGCTTGCAGTGGCTGGGGCCCGTCGGAGCGGCTGGCAGGGTGCATCTGCTGTGTCCATGGGAAAGGCCATGGGAAGGTGCTCGGGGCAGCTGAGGAGGTGCTGATACAGCTCCCAGAACGCAGCACAGACGCCTCATCCTGGGATTGCTGTCTGGCTGGCTGCAGCCCACCCTGCTTC